AGTAGTAGTAAAACATACTCCCTCCGTCCCAAAAAGATTTACACGTTTCAAAAAAATTGTGTCCCACAATCCCTTACCCATTTCTATTAAAAAACCACTTTTACCCTTTTACTTTTTCAAACCCTACCTATCACATCATATTTTTTTTCCTAATAATCTACACATCACATCCTACTTTTACTCATCACATCAATGGTATTTTTGGAAAGTTAACACAAAATTATCCCTACCTTAATTTCAACTTTAGTCAAAATGGGTAACACTTTATGGGACGGAGGAAGTATGACATATCCTCAAAATAATAGTTGAAACATAAATTCTCATAAATAGGAGTAATTAACTTAGTTAATCTAATGACTTAGATTTAAGGATCAAAATAAAAGTAAAACATTGATCATGTACCAACATAGAAGTTATATTCATATTACAAATATGAAATTAAATACATTTCATAAATTAAAAAAATCTAAATTAGCTACAACACCTATTGCACATGTCACTGGCGCTACCCTTGCCACCATCGCCGCTATTGTCGTCGTCGCCACTAACACCGCCACAGTCGGCACTATCACTGTCATTGCCACCACGATCTGCCGCTCTCATCCGCATTTGTTGAGAATGCCGTCTCCATCGCCCCATCTGCTATTATCAATGTCGCAATTTACTGCCAACGTTGAGGTTAGGATTGCCATTGTTGCCACCATAGTGCCATGATGTCGCTTTCAATGGGAAAAATTTTCAATACAATGCCAACCAAAGCCACAATGTCAAAGACGATAATACATACTTGACAAACAAGTTATTGTATAATGCCAAACATGTCAATATAAAATGTCAAAAAGATAGTGAAATGTCAAGATTAGCAAAATACAATATAGAGTTTCCTATCACTATCACCAAAATTGGGAGCAAAATCTAAAGGGAGAAAGATCAAAATAGGACAAAAACATTGACTATATACAAAAATAAGACTTCCATGTTTTTATTCCCAAAATAGGGCTTACATTACCAAATATGGTCATGTACATTACCAAACAATTACAGTAATGTGCACATTTACAATGTCACATTACCATAATGCAAAGTCCTATTTTAGAAAAAAACATGAAAGTTCTATTTTAGTACTTTTCTCTATGTTTTAGAGGGTGTTTGGGAGTGCAGTGATTTATGTAAAAGTTGAAGTCATAATTTAGAAGTAGAAAGCATGTATTTTTAGATTTGCTAGAAAATAATTCTAAACCTTAATTTTAAATTATAGTCATAATTTATAGGGTAATTTCACGTACGGTACACCAACTTGGACATTTATTTCACTTCGGTATACCAACTTTGTTTTCTTTGAGAAAAGTACTCCAACTTAACACTTTCTTTCACCGATGGTATTTTAGCCGGTTTCCAGGTTAAAAGCCGGTCACATATCCTACGTGGATGCCTACTCTTCTTTTTTTATTACAATATTCATCATTTTTAATATAAAACTTATATAAGTTAATGCAAATAGTTTTTTATTAATATAAATAGATAAATAATTATAAATAAAATAAAATTATAAATTCAAAATTAACAAAAATAAATAAAAAGATTGAAATTAATTAAATATTGGAATTAAAAAGTAAAATTGAAATTTAAAAAATTCAAAATTGATTACATTAAAGAAGGGTTTAGAATTAAAACAAATGAAATTGAAAAAAATTGAGGAAAAAATAAAACGATTAAAATTAACTAAATAATAATTATTAGAATTAAAAAATAAAATTGAAATTAAAAAAAATCAAAATTGATTACATTAAAGAAGGGTTTAGAATTAAAACAAATGAAATTGAAAAAAATTGAGGAAACAATAAAAAAGAATAAAATTAATTAAATAATAATTATTGGATGTAAAAAATAAAATTGAAATTAAAAAATTCAAAATTGATTACATTAAAGAAGGATTTAGAATTAAAAGAAGTAATATTGAAAAAAATTGAGGAAAAAATAAAAAGATTAAAATTAATTAAATAATAATTATTGGAATTAAAAAATAAAATTGAAATTAAAAAATCAAAATTGATTACATTAAAGAAGGGTTTAGAATTAAAACAAATGAAGTTGGGGAGCCCGTCGGCGGCGAAGTTAGGAGAATCTAGCTCGGCGGAGTTGGGGAGCCGTCAGCGGCGAAGCCCTCTAACGACGATGCCTACGTCGAGATCACACTCGACGTCCGGGAGAACTCCGTGGCGGTGCACTGCGTGAAGACGGCCAATGGTGCTGACGTGAAGCCCTATTTTATTTATAATTATTTATCTATTTATATAATAAAAAACTATTTGCATTAATTTATATAAGTTTTATATTAAAAATGATGAATATTGTAAAAAAAGAAGAGTAGACATCCACGTAGGATTGGGTGCGCCATGTAGGCATCCTCATAGAATATGTGACCGGCTTTTAACTTGGAAACCAGCTAAAATACCATCAGTGAAAGAAAGTGTTAAGTTGGAGAACTTTTCTGAAAGAAAACAAAGTTGGTATACCGAAGTGAAAAAACGTCAAAGTTGGTGTACCATACGTGAAATTTACCCTAATTTATAAGCTAAAGGAAATCAACAAACATTTAAAATCGTGTTTTAGTAAAGTAAAAGCTATAACTTATTTTCAAATGCAATCCCAAACACACTCTTAGTCCTATTTAGAGTGACTTCTAAAATTTAAACACAGCTAATAGAAAAATAATTAAAAAAAAAATAAAAGAAAAACAATCAAATACAAAAACAAAAAGAAAAAACTAAATCCAAATCAATACTTAATGAAGATGCAATTTTTCGGAGAAAAAAAAGGATAAATGCAATTAGTTGAAAGTATTTCTTACTTCTACAATGTAGTCTCAATTATCGAACATTTAGAAACTAATTAAAAATCAAAATCACAGTCATCGCAACTAGCGGCAACATCAGCTCTCATGGATATATAGGCGGTGCGATAGATCTACAAGGGGGGATAGATAGAGGCGGCGCTACGCGACGGATCTACAGGAGATTCTTCGTGAAAGATCTGCAAATGGGGAAGCTAGTACGACGGCACTGCAAGGAGTAGGGCGACGGTGATGTACTGTATTTGGGGGGGGGGGGGGATTTGACGGAAGAAACGCTACAAAATGGTTATGGTGGCGGCCAAAAAAGAGAGAAAGGGTAGAGAGAGAGGCATGGTGGGTGGTTGTGAGGAGATGGACCCGAGAGATGGGATTAATTAAAGACTCCATATTATTCATGATGTTTTCTTTATTACTTATTTGATTACTCCTATTTAGAGAAATTTATGTTTGAGCTCCTATTTTGAATATATGACATATGTTTTACTCTTATTTAGAGGATTTTCTTAAGAAAAATTAGTCACGAGTATTTACTTAATTAATTCTACATAGTTAATTAACTTAGGCCCCGTTCCATTCAACATATTTTTTCTTATTTTTTCTTATTCTTATTAAAATCAGATCATATCAAATCAGATCAGATCTGATCCGATCAGATCAGATCGGGACTTATTAAAATCAGACAAGAATTATTATTATTATTATTAGTATTATTATTATTATTATCATTATTACTGTATTATTATTATTATTGTTATTGTTCTTAAAAATGAAAAAGAATAAACTTTAGAAATAGGTTAAATAGAAAACTGAGAAAGTAATCCTTAATTATTAGACGTCGGAAAAATTAGTTTTAAAATACATTGACAATGTCAATCTTATTCTACTTTTAAAATATATTTTTATTGCTACTTGTAATTTGAGTTTCTAAAGATTTGATCTTTTATAGGGATGAGATGTTTTAATAAAAATACTATCTCTTCTATATATTGATTATCTAAATTTAATTACTTTTTAATGTATATCTAAATTAAATATTTATTCTAATGTATATATGAAGTAATTATTAAAATATTAAATTAATATTCTAATTTCAAAAAAAAAATCATAAAATAAAAAGTATTACATTATAATATGAATGATTATTCTAATATATGAATTAACTATTTTTATTTTATTAAAAAATAATCATTAAATAAAAAATATTGATTATATTATAATATGAATTATCATTACAATTTTCAAACGTTATTATAAAGTCAAATCAAATTATTGATTTGAAATTTTAAATTAAATCATAATTAATCAAATCAGATCAGACCAGACCAGATCAGATCCAATCAGATAAGATGAGATCAGAACTTATTAAAATCAGATCAGATCATAAAAAATAAGTTGAACGGAACAGAGTCTTAGCGTCCAAAATCTAGCGTTGTCTAAAAGTCAGAAAGTCCTCCTCCCACTCCTCCACGTTCAGCACGCGGTCGTGGCTCTCACTCTCTCCACTCCGAACGTTCGGATCCTGTTCACCAGAGGCGTTGCGAAGCACGCGCTGTGACTAGTCACGGACAGCTCACCCGCTCACACAATTAACCAACTGTTGTTTTATAGAGTAGTATAATTATACGGAGTATTTACAAACAACCGCATACATTTCAGGAAATATAAATCCCCATTCCACACTCCCAACTTTACTCTTCTCTCTCTTTCCAAAAAGCATCCAGTAGGGTTTTGAAATCCTCTCCCTAAACTCACGGGGACACTGGAGAGTGTATATGGTACATCTGGATGTACATAGAAATAGGTACATCTGGGTAGTACTCATTCTGAAATAAAATAGTACACATTCTCGTATCAACATATATTACTTTTGAAATAGTGTGGTGCTCATTCTGAAATAACAAAATAATGTAGTACACATTTTCACAAATTCATGTAACACAATTATAATATTTAATTAAGAATAAAGTAAAACAAATTATTATTCATTCTAGTCAATTAAATTAATTGTTCATCCCACTGTCACTTAATCTTTACCCCGAGTTTGTACTACTTCCACAGTTCCACGTACCTTAAACCCCCAATTTCCGTCTGCTTCCTCTCCCGCAATTATAACGCAATCGATAGAACGCGGCCAGGAACGGAACTAGCATCCCTTCATCTGCGGCGTCTGCGTCTTCTCCAACAAGCAGGAACAGAGGCGCGACAAAGGTGGGTAGGCGAAAGTCAATTTTCCGTTCCATCTCTTCTTCTCTTCTCGTCGCGCTTCTTAGGGATTTAAGCCGGCTGTACGGTTCTAACCGTACAGCCTGATGTACTGTATAATTTCCGGGGACACTGTCTTCTTCACCTGGAAACCCTATCTGCAATCTTGAATTTCAGGGTTTCTGGATTTTCTTGAAGAGTCTAGCTTTCAGCTGGAACCGGCTCTGGAAATGACGGTGTTTTGTGATCCCTAGCTAGGAAGGAAGCAGGTAACTTTTGTTTTGGTCTGCTTGAATATTTATAGAGCTTTACTCTTGATTTATATAGTACATTTGGTTTTATATTGTTTTTTGTATATTTCTCAACATCTGCCGGGGCCTCACTTTCTTAAATAAGTAGAAGAGTTCAGGGGAAATTTCATTTTTAGCCAATTTATTTTCTGTTTTTGAAATATATATGTGATTGGGCGCTGAATGTATTGTTGACTTAACCTGATGTTCTTATTCAAAAATTTTGGACAGTGCTTTTCACTTTGAAAAGATTCTAATTTGATTGAGTTGAAATTCAGCATTTGCCTTTTGTCTTCTTTAAGTGTGCCGTAATTGCTTTGCAGGCTTTCTACATATGGGTTTTTCTTAGTTTAGTTGAAGTTACGCAGGGTATTTTCTTTCTGCTTAAATGCTGAAGTTTTAAAGAAACTCGATTATTTATGATCAGGCGTTGTTTTGAAATGTAGTTCTGAGTGGGGGAGAGAATAAAAAGTTGGAAAATGGAAGAGAATGAGCATAAATTAATGTTGGCATGTGTGATTCCCGGGACTCTCTTCTTCGTGCTGGGCTCTGCTTCTTTTGCGATACTCTGGGCAGTCAATTGGAGACCATGGCGGATTTATAGGTGACATATTTTTTATTTGTCTTTTCTACTTTCAGATGTTCAATTTTCCATATGCTGTGCAATGCTACGCTCTTACAGCAACTATGAATCCATATTAAGGGGCTTATATTTTATGTATTTCACATTTTAACATTATCACCTATAGACGGTACTAGACTGCTCTAGGCAAAACCGTAGATTGTGGCTAGTTGTGGTAACTGTAAGTGGTGAATGGAATTAATTCACTGTTCTAGAAGTAGGGAATTTTATTCACTTAATTTTTAAAATTTAAAATTTTATTCACCTATAGACGGTACTAGACTTCTCTAGGCAAAACCGTAGATTGTGGCTAGTTGTGGTAACTGTAAGTGGTGAATGAAACTAATTCACTGTTCTACAAGTAGGGAATTTTATTCACTTGATTATTAAAAATTAACATTTCAAATATTATATGACTTTGCTTTCTAAAAAAGAGTAAACAATCCATTTTTTAGGTGATAAATAGTGCTAATTATTGCATTATACAAGCAACTCAGAGTCTTCAATAATAAATGCCAAAGATATTAATGGAGTATGATGAGAAATAATAGCCATGCCCTCATCCATATGTAAATAGATTAAAGATATGGCAAACTACTGAACTAGCGTTGATGTTAGATGGATTAATCATTAAAGATTTCCTATTTGATAATTTCAAAAGTCTTATTGACGATACTCTTATTGTGTGTGTGTGTGTGTCTCATTTGTTAGTAAAAGTCGGTACAGCCCTAATTCAGTAAAGTTTTCTTAATCATTAAACTACAGTCTGTCAAGTTACCTTTCGGCCTGGTGGTCAAGACGTACACAACCATACCATTTTAAAAATAGAGAAGCTGCTTATGTTAGACCCTTCTTGCATTGCTGCATTTACTACTCAAAACTCCATTGAAGGTAGGATTAGGAAGTAAATGAAGTTTAATGTGCCTTTTTGAATTAAAGAAGAAAATTTATCTTATTCCAATTAAGTCTAATAAAATTACACTTCTCTAATCGAAACAGCATAAAACTACAATAGGCAGCACTGACCTAATTTCTTTAATTTTTTCCAAAATGAGCAACCATGGGAAGTGATATCCAACAAGTTCACCACTATCACCTTGATACTTGCTATTAGGTAATGCCGTAATGGCCATTACTCATTACTTCATTAGCAGTGAGAAATAAACTGGGATTTGAGGACATGGATACTCAAACAGTCTGACTAAGAAAGGGCAGCCTGATGCACAATGCATCCCGCTGAGCGGGAGTCTGGGGAACGGTTCCATCACAAGAGCAAATCAAAAAGTTCATCACACTATGACCATGATTCATGCTAATAGGGATTTCATACAGGCAATACAGCTTCCAAATCGAAAGACAATATTACCAATGTTTGATGACTGTGTACATTAAAAAATACAAAAATGAATAAAAATAAAAGATGTGTAAATATAAACATTTTCCTGAAGGATAAATATTTGTTTGGATATGTAATATCTAAGTTTGTGAGTTCTATGTTCATTGGAGATTAATGAGCCGACCAAATTGAGATTTTTATTGTGCTAACTGCTAACAACATGTGAATGAAATCTTTATTCCTCTCTCATCTCATTTTAAGAGAACCTTATCCCCTTATTTTATTTATTTATATATTTTAATTGCCTATGCAGTTGGATCTTTGCCCGAAAATGGCCTGAAATGCTTCAAGGTCCCCAGCTGGGAATTTTATGTAGTTTCATGTCTCTTACTGCTTGGCTGATTGTTATCTCACCAATTGTGGTCCTTATAATGTGGGGAAGCTGGCTCACTGTAATTTTGGGCCGGGACATAATTGGGTTAGCTGTGGTAATGGGTGGTACTGGTATCCTTTTAGCATTCTACTCAATCATGCTATGGTGGAGAACACAATGGCAAAGCTCAAGTATGTATGAGTGTATGATATCTCTTTGCATTTTTGGCACAATCACGATCCTTGTATGAATTTAATGTTGATATAATGTGGATATCTTTTCTCTTTTGTGTCTAATGATTTTTGCTTGCCGATCACTGCATTCGTGTAATTCCAAATATATTACCTCGTCAAGCACAATTGTCTTTACTTATCCTTTCTGGATGTAATTTCCAGAATATTTCAATGTGATTATATTGCTCTGTAAAAATTGGGGTTCACAAAATCCCACATACACATGAGCATCTTGTAAGGCAAAACATAATAGGAATATGACTTCAAATCTACATTTTTTAAATGCGGGATCAAAGTACTCTGTTATAAAGTTCTATAGATACATAATGATGCCTATTCATCTTGAGTGTGGGTTATACTTAGACCCTTGAGTATTTCATTGCTTAATCATTATTATCATTCTTATAATAGGAATATGACTTCAAATCTACATTTTCTAAATGCGGAATCAAAGTACTCTGTTATAAAGTTCTATAGAATGATGCCTATTCATCTTGAGTGTGGGTTTTACTTAGACCCTTGAGTATTTCATTGCTTAATCATTATTATCATTCTTATAATATGGCGGGCAGGAGCTGTAGCTGTTCTTCTTTTGTTGGCTGTTGGGTTGCTCTGTGCATATGAACTCTGTGCGGTGTATGTCACAGCTGGTGTGAGTGCATCTGAGAGATATTCACCTTCTGGTTTTTTCTTTGGGGTGTCAGCAATCGCTTTAGCCATCAACATGCTCTTTATTTGCAGAATGGTTTTTAATGGTAAGCAAGTCCTGGCTTTTATGTCTCCTTTTTAGTGAACCTTCTGACTTGTATTTTCTTTTATCATTTCTTAGAGTACAGTTAAAAACATAAATTTTCCCATGAGTATGCTGCTGTTTTTTCAACATGTGTAATTTCTTCTTCTATTTAGCTTCTAAACTATTTGTTGTGCAATTCTTGTTACCATTCACATCAGGTAATGGCTTAGATGTTGATGAATATGTGCGGAGGGCATACAAATTTGCGTATTCAGACTGTATTGAAGTGGGTCCAGTTGCTTGTTTACAAGAACCCCCTGAACCTAATGAGTTATATCCTCGACAAACGAGAAGGCAAGCTCGAAATCTGTTTATCTGAAACAGTAATATATTTATTTTGTGATTTTGGGTTATGCAGTCTCTCTCTGTAAAGCTGTTATTTAATGTCAAGCTTGATGCTATATTGTTACAATCTTGTATATACTTTATTCTAGTTACCCAATGTGTGTATAGATTATGGCTTTGTTGTAGGTGTAGGATATATGCATACATATGACTCACACATTAATGTTTATGAACCAGTTCTGCTAGCTATCTATTAGCAGACCTAGTAAAAATCTGATTTGGGAGTTTTCTTTTAACTTCTGAAGAAGTCTATATAAACTACTATAACGTATAAACTTGGAAGCATGCTATCAGAAGTAATTTCTCATGTAAGCAGCTTTGCAGGGCTTTGCATCTTGGGCTTCTGTACCTTGGCTCAGTTTTAGTACTACTTGCATATTCTATCTTGTATGGCCTGACCGCGAAGGAATCACACTGGCTTGCGACTATAACATCAACTGCCATTATTATACTTGGTATGCTTTGTCTTCATGTTCCATTTATTTTCCTGAAAGTTCTAAGTTAGATAAGAGAGATTTTTATAACCATTTACTCCGTATTACTTTTGTATCTTACTATCATTTTGGATATTCTTATCAGACTGGAATATAGGGGCATGCTTGTATGGATTTCAACTTCTTAAAAGCCCTGTCATTGCACTTATTCTTGCGGGAGTGTCTCGAGTGCTCCTCATATGTTTTGGAGTTCATTACTGGTTTGTTAAAGACTCCAAGGAATATATGTTTTCTTATTGCTTGTATTGCACTAGCTATTTGTTAAGTGTTGTGCTGCCCCGTTCCTTTTGTTTGTAGGTATTTGGGACATTGCACTAGTTATGTTGTTGTCGCCTCTGTGCTTCTATGTGCTGTTGTTTCACGCCACTTGTCTGCTACAGATCCATCAGTGGCGAGAAGAGATGCTCTGCAGAGTACTGTTATTCGCCTTAGAAATGGTTTCCGCAGAAAAGATCATAGTAGCTCTGCTAGTTCTTCCGAGGGTTGTGGATCCAGTGTGAAACGTAGTAGTAGTGCAGATGCTGGTCATCTTTCTAATGCTCCTGTATCTTGCACTGGTGATGGTAGCAGCTACAATACTATTGAGGGAATCAATAGTGATAAGAGTATGGATAGTGGAAGGCCCAGTTTGGCAATTCGTAGTAGTTCATGCAGATCAGTAGCTCGAGAACCTGAAGTAGGCAGCTCAACATGTGTTGACAAGAATTTTGATCGTAATTCTCTGCCAGTATGCTCAAGTAGCTGCATTGAAAACCAAGGATGTGTGTCCAGTGCATCAGCTCCGATAAATCAGCAAATGCCTGACTTGAATTTGACACTTTCTTTCCAGGAAAAGTTGAATGATCCCAGAATTACATCGATGTTAAAGAGGAAGGCAAGACAAGGAGATCTTGAACTTACTAGTTTATTGCAAGATAAAGGACTTGATCCAAATTTTTCTGTTATGCTGAAGGAGAAAGGTTTAGACCCAAGAATCCTTGCATTATTACAGAGAAGTAGTTTGGATGCTGATCGAGATCATTGTGACAATACCAATGTGACAGTCATTGACTCTAACAGTGTTGACCAGGTGTTTCCTAATCAAATTTCTTTTTCAGAAGAGCTCCGACGCCAAGGGTTAGGGAAGTGGCTTCTACTATGCAGAATGATTTTGCATCACATAGTAGGATCTCCGGAAAGAGCATGGCTTCTTTTCAGTTTAGTGTTCATCCTTGATACTGTGGTTGTTGCAGTTTTTCGTCCGGAGACTATAAACCTTATAAATGCGGCACACCAACAGGCATGAAAGTTTTTTTGTATTTCAGTAAAGTTTTGTATACAAATTAAGTTTTCTTTTTTCAATTGTTTCAAACTTCTTCTGCAGTTTGAATTTGGTATTGTGGTGTTGCTTTTGTCTCCTGTCATATGTTCAATACTGGCGTTCCTTCGGTCTCTTCAACTGGAAGAGCTAGCCATGACTTCGAAGCCACGCAAAGTATTTTTCCTTTCAATCTCTCCTCACCATGCTTTTATAAAATTTTCTACATTTTGTGTTGTCTCTTTCTTATTTTTTGGCTTCCTATTGGTGTATATACCCCCTGCAACCAAGGTTGGTAAACATTGTTCATTCTATTTATTTCTCCAGAACATTTAATTCAAAATCGTTTCTTAAGCTGGATGCTATGATATCCAGATTGGCATTGTGTAATTGTTTACTTTTTCATGAATACTTAGCTTTTTCCGTTAGGATTCATGCCTACTGCATCACTTCAAGTCTATGGTCTCTCCGTACGTCAATTGACAAATGAATTTATCTTATGCTTATATTTTCAATAATTCTTAATATTTATGCAGTATGGATTTATAGCTTGGATGCTAAGCACTTGTGTTGGCTTGCTTCTTTCGTTCCTAAGGTAACACTCTGACATGTCTTTTCAGTTCTGCATTTTACTCCATCTGTTTCAACGGCACGGATCTTTTAACATGAGTTTCAATGTCATATTATGACATTAGTTCAATTGAGGCAATTTAAGTGCTTCAATAAAAAAATTGATGGTTCCAACCCCCGATACTCCGTCTGCCCTGGCCCTAAATAAATCTCAACACACCTTCACTTTCGTAATAATTGTGCCAAGAACGGGCAAGAACGTAGCTAGGGATGGAGAGAGTATTTATTATTATTATTACTACTACTACTATTACTATTACTATTACAATTAATATCACTATTAATATTATTGTCGCTATCATCATCATCATCATCATTGTCATCACCATCACCATCATCATAATAAGGGAAGTGGTAATATATATCCATTATGACTTATACATGTGAAGAACGTGATATATATATATATATATATATATATATATATATATATATATATATATATATATATATATAGATAACTCTTTAGATGAATCAGTTATTATTGGTAATAACATAGATATGCGTTCAACATGCTCTATGGTTTTCTTTCTTTTTTAATTCCATGTAAGTATGAACAATTCCAAAGTGCTAGTGATCCATTTTTGATCAGTTTAGGAGTGAAGTAATCTACAATGCAATCATAATTTAGTAAGAAAATTTTAATCTTGAATTATCTGTGTCAGCCTTTTTTTGCATTTAGTGGTTATTTTGTAAAGATATTATTGGTTAAAGATTGCATCTGTTAAGTAACGTCTATGTCTCATTTTGTGGCTACAATTGCATTTTAATCCCTTCCATTAGGCCATTAGGGCTAGTATTACCCTTGATGCTTATTGTTGCAAATACTGGAGAAGTCCAGCAATGCATCCTCACTTGCCCACATTTATTTATTTTTTCAAATGGAGCAAAGTTGCTCCTTCCTGGCTTGCCTCTGGTTTTTGCCAGGAGCCAGCCAGGTGCTCCGCTCCCACGGACATGCATATCTATTCATTTATTTTGCATTTATTAGTATTATTTTTGCAAATGGTAATGTGCTCTGATACCATTGTTTTATACCTTGTGATGTCTTGTTTCCTCAAATATTCCTAATAATTCTTTTTTGAGTGAATTGTAACATGTATTTCATCTAACAGCAAATCATCAGTACTTCTGGGATTTTCTTTGATGGTGCCTTTAATGGTAGCATGCCTCTCTTTTGCAATTCCAATATGGGTTCATAATGGCTATCAGTTTTGGGTGTCAAGAATTGAGAATGGAGGTGGAGCAGGAAATCATCAAACTTTGGGAATGAAACGGGTAAAACTGTTGTATTATCAATTATGTGGTGGTGCTTTAATTAATACTGTATAATGTATGGTTGCTTTGTTAATGAATTGGAAATGGTTACCATCTTCTATAGCTGTATTGGTGTTTGATGTAAGCAGGCTCTTCTAGAATATGTCTGTGGGCTTCTCTCATTTCCTGTAGAATCTTCTCCCATTGTTAGAGTTCATTCACACATGCAAATATGCAATATTTCCCACGGGTTTCACTAACACCATGCTTGAAAATTGAATAAATTTGTTTCGCAGGGTGTTCTATTCGTCTACATGTCTTTATTTGCTGGATCTGTTGTAGCTCTTGGAGTGATAGTGTCCGCAAAACCATTAGACGATTTAGGGTACAAGGGGTTGACTGTTGATCAGAATGTTGTTACCTCTCCTTATGCATCATCTGTTTACCTTGGTTGGGCAATGGCATCTGCAATTGCTTTATTAGCTAGTGGCTTGCTGCCCATTATATCATGGTTTGCAACATATCGGTTTCCCCTCTCATCTGGTATTTCTATTGGTATATTTGCAGGTAATTGATTCCTTCTCACTTTAAAAAAATGTTCAGGTTATTTTCTTTGACATTAGTTCACCTGCAGCACAAATGCCGATTGACACTCTTTCTACTATATCTGTTTGCAGCTGTTCTTGTGGCATTTTGTAGTGTCTCGTTTTTGAAAGTTGTGACTTTGAGGGTTGATCAAGTCCCGATGAAGGAAGACTTCCTGGCTGCATTGCTTCCACTGTTATGCATTCCTGCAGTCCTTTCACTTTCTTCTGGTTTATTTAAATGGTAATGTTTTTTGCCAGAACCAACTAATCTTTAACAACCTTATTCGGATTCATTTTCACACTTCTAAACCATTGTACTTGAATTGTAAGATGTGAGCTGCTCCTTATATAGAGTAACTCTATTGTAAATATTATCAGGAAAGATGATAACTGGAAGCTTTATCGAGGTGCTTATATATTCATTATTATTGGTCTTCTTCTTCTGCTTGGTGCCATTTCGGCCATCATAGTTACAGTGCAACCTTGGAGGGTAAGTCAATACTATTGGTTAATTTATCTCTTATTATTGTGTATCTCTAAGGAGTTTCACTTCATATTATGACAGATAGGAGCAACATTTCTCTTAGTTCTCCTCCTCCTAGTTCTAGCTATTGGTGCAACTCATTATTGGGCCTCAAATAATTTCTATCTGACAAGGGTGCAGATGCTAGTTGTTTGTTTTCTAGCATTTCTTGTGGCTTTGGCATCCTTTCTTGTTGGATGGTTTCAAGGTAAGATCACTTTCTTATACATCACTCGTGACGATATGATTCACAGATCACCATAGGACTCCTCGGATAATGACCGATATCAATTTGCATGCTTCATAATGCTTGATTGGATTTTTTATTTGTTCCAGACAAGGCCTTTGTCGGTGCATCCGTTGGTTACTTCTCATTTCTTTTCCTACTAGCTGGAAGGGCATTGTCTGTAAGTTGATCATTCTTGAAATAATAATTTAGGGCTGAGGCTTGCTTGTTATGTTGGCCCTCTCCCACAGTGTGATGTACTTCCTATTTCTTCTTGACATGTTTTCTTGCTTTAATAACTCAGTAATTTATTGTCTTCTCTAGGTACTCCTTTCACCTTCGATAGTAGTCTATTCCCCAAGGGTGTTACCTGTGTATGTGTACGATGCACATGCAGATTGTGGGAAAAATGTCAGGTTTTGTTGAACTCTTCTCTGCAAGCTGAAGTGTTGGAATTCTCTCTTTTTTTAAATGAATTTTTATCATGTTATCCAAAAAAAATTCATGTTCTTATCATCATTTCTCCTTGGAATATTTAAGTACTTGACAAATTGTTCTACTTTCTATCCTCAGTGGTGCATTTCTTTTGCTTTATGGCGTTGCATTAGCTATTGAAGGATGGGGTGTAGTTGCAAGTTTGAAAATCTATCCACCTTTTGCTGGAGCTGCTGTTTCAGCAATTACACTTGTTGTAGCTTTTGGATTCGCTGTCTCTCGCCCTTGTTTGACTCTTGAGGTATTTCCAGTCATGGTATTTGCTTTATTAGCAATTTCTCTTGATTTCTTGATCATAATATTTTATTGTTTCAGTAGGTTCAGCAGTTATGGAGTTTTTGGTTTCTTCTCTTTTAGGAGTGTGTTGGATTGTGTGACTGATAATCAGAGGTTTTCCTCATAATACATAATTACATATTACAAAATGACTATATATATACATAAGAAGGGTGCTAATATAAGGAAACTATATCTCCCATATTAATGCCTAAATCACCCATATTAATGGCCAAATCAGATTCTGCCATATTCTCAGGACTTAACTAAAATACTAATATTATTACTAATAACACTCCCCCTCAAGTTGGAGCATATACATTTATCATGCCCAACTTGTTACATAAATACATAAGCCTGGTGCCATTTAGCGCTTTAGTAAGGAGATCTGCTAATTGATCTCCTGTCTTCACAAGTCCAGTAGAAATCAATCCCTTCTGTATTTTCTCCCGAACAAAGTGACAATCTACTTCAATATGTTTCATCCTTTCGTGAAAAACTGGTTTGGATGCAATATGAAGAGCAGCTTGGTTATCACACCATAGTTTCGCAGGGATGGGAGCTTTGAAACCAGTTTCATTGAGGAGGTGATATATCCATATTATTTCACACGCAGCTTGTGCCATGGCTCTATATTCAGACTCAGCACTAGAACGAGAGACAACGTTCTGCTTCTTGCTCTTCCACGAAATCAGATTCCCACCCACAAAGACACAATAACCGGAGGTGGACCTACGATCATCCTTCGACCCTGCATAATCTGCATCTGCATAACTTTCAATGTTCATGTGACCGTGATTTGAATAGACAATACCACGACCGGGAGTTCCTTTCAAGTAACACAGAATATGTTCCACTGCAGCCCAATGATCAATTGTTGGGGATGCCATA